ACGAACCCAATCCTCCCGCTTCTCTCCCGCTTCTCTCCCGCTTCTCTCGACCCCGGGGATTTGCTCGTCTGGCGGAAACAAGCGGTAGAAAAGCGGCTTTTTACCGGCAAAAGCAGTTCTGCTGCGGTACGGAAGTCGGCGGGGCAAAAACCCCGCTTGTTTGTGTTTCAGAGCTACTGAGACCACCGGTTTGGGCCTGGTGGCGAAGGTCTCCGCTTGAGTTACCTGTAGATACGAAACCTCTTCCCTGCAGCTCCGAATGGCTTCTTCTCGTGTTTGCTTTTCTCGTGGAAGGATTTCTTTGCCGTTTCAGCAGCTTTCGTGATTGTCAGTGACCCTTCAACAAGCTGTTTCAGTTCAGTTGGAAGCATCATTTCTCACTTGAAGACAGTGAAAGTGGCTCTTGAGAGACCTGCTTTACTCCCCGACTTGTAGAACTGTGTAAAAGCAACTGGTTTAGCAGCTGTAATTAATTTTCAGTGTTGAAAACATTACTGCAAATTTGAACTCATTCCTACGTGTTTTTTAACAAAGGAGGAAGTCTTTTCAACTCTGCTTCAGTGTAGCTTTTGAAGATTAATGCACTTTTTCTTGATGTGGAGGCCTGCATCATTTTTTGGTGAATAATTTCTTACTTTGCCTTGCTGCAGTCTGTAGGGTAGCGGGACAAGGAGTCAACCTTCACGTTTGGCATGTTTTCATTTGTTTAAAACCAAAAGAAAAGTAATACATGCATTCAGTGTTGTACACAGAGCTGGGATAGAGGATCTGCAGCAGATTTAGATCTTTAAGTCTCTCATATTTCATCTGACTCGGAAAGGGGATGGGGCCAAGGGCAGGGCTGACACTGAGGAGCTCTCGGGCATTTTGGGTACGGACAAATACAATAAGGGAGGAAAAGAGAACTTGGTGCTGCCACTCAGACTGATGTTCCGCCTTCTCCTGTTCCAAGACAAAGTGCTTCAGAGAAGACTGAAAAGGATGATTATGGATTAACTTCCTAGCCTCATTTGTGTAGCAGCTGACCAACACAGCAATACATGAGAGTTTAGTAGTCCTTAGTTTAAAATGAAATTCTATTTTATACAGTATTTTTGTGCTATCTGTATAAATAAAGCCATATGTTTAGTGGGTCAGTCAGCGCTTCCCCCTCACTCACCACCTTTCTCCACCTTTTAAGTAAGGCAAAAGTTCCTGCTTCCTCCACGCATGCACGCAGCAGCTCAGCATTTTCAAATCTTACAACGTTCTTGACCTTCGTGAACATTCTATAGCTTCAGCTGTACCAGTAGTAATGTGCTGTGTAAGAAGTGTCACTTGTAAATTCTCAGCTTTTCAGTGTGTTTTAGTTTGAGGAGGAGTAAACAGTTGAACATACCTCCTTTCTTTAAACTTAATTCGTATTTTCATTGTTGCTTAATAAGGAGTTTAGTTACTTTTGTCCTTCATTTCTGACTCTCTTCTCTGTCCTTATCCCATCAGTCATCAGTTACAGATCTGCTGCCATATTGAGGTCGCCCTGAGACTGTAACAAAGCTTTACAAAAACTGACTAGGAATCCCTTCTCTTAAAATCTTTAAAAAAATAAAGGGGGGGACTGCCAGTGTTACATACGCCAACATAGTGGAGGTGAAGTTCTTCCTTAGCATGTGAAATAAGGAGTACGATATCCCCAGGCTTGTGACAGAAACAGACAAATAAAGGAAATTTGGACATTTTGTATCTTTTCAAAGCAAATGTCTATAATAGACAAATATGTATAATAGAATTCTGTCTTTTCCTCATTGCATCTCTTGCAACATTCAGATTTAATTTTGTAGAAACTCTTTCAGTGGGATTCCAAGATGTTTCTAATTTTTGTTTTAGCTGCATTTTTCTGAAAAGTTTACAGCAGAAATACGTCATTATATCTTTACTGAAAAATTGTGTTCTCCCTGAAGTCACACCTTGAGCTTCCATATGAACTGTCAGGCGATACAAAGTGAAAAGCCCAGTGGTTAGAGCCAAAAAGGGTTTGGTAGGTAAGCAATTTCTGGCTTTCCAGAGTAATGGGCATGATATGTAGTAAGTGTTGTTTGTGAAGAAGCATTGATTTACAATTTCATGATATTTTTCACTTTAAACAAGGAATAAATGTTAACACCCCCCCATCTTTTAGGTATTATTTGACTGTGCAGTACTTAGCTGGTAGACCAAAACGTTAACTTGTGTGTGATACCTAATCCTGATTCAAAGTCCGAGCAGTGACCAAGGTGTAAACCAGGAGCCACTCTGCGCCCTGGCACCTGGGTCACCAGGCATGCGGGGACGTGTTCAGCTTCCACTGAAACTGGGGAGACTTACGCCACAGCTGTGTGGTTTTGCTGAACTTAGGGCACTCTAACCACGATAAAAAGAACAGTACCAAGAGACACTCACACTTTCTTTCTCTTTTTTTCTTTTCCTGTTTTTCAGTGAGCTTGGCCGTTGCTGAGGACACCTCTGATAAAGCTGACCACACTTGAGCCAGCTGCAAGAACCATAATGACTTACGTTGCAAAGAAGTGTGGCGTCTGCTTTCAGCCTCCATCCATTATCCTGATCTACAAAGAAGACAACCAGGATAAGACTCGCCAGCGCGTCATGCCTGTCAGGAACTTCTCCAAGTTCTCAGGTGTGGTGCATTACGTGTAGCATTCCCAAGTCCTCTCCAGACACAGCGAGAGGAATGGGTAGTTGGTAACCGTGCTTTTGGTAACCGCTGGGTAGCTTCTCACCAGCATGCAGTGAGTGCAAAGAGGGGTTGTTTTGGGGTAACTCTGTCTGCCCTGAGGAGCCCAAGGCTGCATCTTAACGTGAGTAGTGGCTCTGCTAAGTCTGGAAGTCTTGCTTGTGAGGGTTTGGGAGAAGAGGATCTGCTTATGGGAAGAGATTTGCTTGCAGCTGAAAGTCTTCACTGTGGCTTTCTCTTTAGACTGCAGCATGGCTGCTGAGCAGCTGAAGAATAACCCTCGGCACAAGGCTTACCTAGAAGGAGTCTCACTGCATCAGCTACGGAAGCTGTACAGTTTGCTGAAAGGTCATCTGGGAGGAGAGAGCCTGGCTGAGAGCTTGGAAAAGTTTCGGCAGGAGGAGACCATTGACCCAGAAGAGGATATGAACAAACTAGATGACAAGGAACTAGCCAAAAGGAAAAGCATCATGGATGAGCTGTTCGAAAAAAACCGGAAGACGAAGGACGACCCAGATTTCATCTATGACATTGAGGTTGAGTTTCCACAGGATGAGCAGCTGGAGTCCTGTGGCTGGGACATGGAGTCAGGTGAGGAAATCTGATTCTGGACAGGTGTCTTGGACAGGCAGCTGAGAGACAAGTCTCACAGTCCTAACAGAGAGAACGATGTCAGCGTACGTATGCTACCGCGTCGTTTTCAGTTCACGCCGCTGACGCACGTTACATTGGCTACGGAGAACCCAAGGCCTAAGGTGCTACAGCAGTTCCAGGTTTAACTGAACTTCGTTTAAGAAGCCAGACTTAATGAAATGGCAATTGGGCAGCTGAACTTATTTGGTGTTTTTAGTCTTTTTCTTTGTATGAGTGCCTAAAATAATGTGAAATTATTTAATCTTTTGTTTGTTTACATTTCAGTCAGCTTTGGCTGAAAACCTCACCAGCTTGCCTTGCTGTGATTTCTATTCAGCTTCATCGGAAAATGAAGTGTTAAATATTTACATCTTGAAAGCAGTGTTAAAGTTTTATTATATACATATGGTATTTATTATTACTTGCTGGAATGTTAAATATCTATTAGCCTTTCTGGATGAATCAACATTGCATTGAGAATACTACTCTTGTGTTTCCTGAGCGGTGCTTAAATCTCCAGCTTCAGCTTACACAAATAGAAGTCCTTGTATTTGAGAAACAGAATATCTAGAAAGTAAATTAGTCTTGAAAGTACTTTTGAAAATAGTGATTTTAAACTGCCAAAGTGAGGCGTTTTGCTTCCCAGCACTACTAGACAATGCTTTCTGAGTAAGTAAGTGCTCAGTTCTGAGAACCTGTGCTTAGACTATCCAAAAAAAAAAGTAGTGTGGTAGAAACTCAAAAAAGCTGGGGGTGTGAAAGCAAACCCAGACGACGGTTCTCGGCTCACTCTAAGCAGTGCTAGGGGAGAACCTGATGTGACAAGTAAAGCTACAGCAAAAGGTCCTCCACCCAGTGTTTTGATGGTCCCCGAGAACTTCCTCCAAGACCAATTTATTTCCTGCCTTCTTTCTTGTAACCACAAATGAATTAAAACCTGCCAGTTTTATCAATAAGACATCGTATCATAGCGTGGAAGCTGGGGTTTGGAAGAGCTCTCCTCCTACACACTGGAGATAGAGCCAGTTCTGTGAAAAATCTGAAACAAGTGTCAGTTAAACCACTGCACTTTGTCATCACTGGAGAAGATGAGTGAGCTTACGTTTGTCCAAGGGAGTCTTCAATTCAAAAGAAAAATGGAAGCCAATGCCTCATTTGCCAAAATATTTTAAAAATAAAGCCTGACTCAGCTCTTCTACCCACAAAGGTGTGTGTAGATCTCCGGCACAGGCCCTTCTCTGTTTCCAGCTAAAAATTGCAACATAACAGCATATAAAGATCTCCCACTTGGGTGAGGGGACCCGTGGGGACCTCTCCTCCACACCTGCCCTGCCCTGGGGTCAGGCCAGCCTGCACCCGGCTTCGTCCTGGCGGGGCTCGGGAGACGGAGCCTGCACCCCCTCCCCGGGCACGGCCATCCTTGCTGGATGAGGTGTATATGAGGTCTAATGAGTGCTGAATTGAGGGGGGTAATCACCTCCCTGGAGTGTGAGGTTCCTGCTGGCCTATTCCTCCCTCCCACCCCGGTCCTTCAGAATGGCAGTCCTACCCAGTGTCAACTGGTCCTCCCAATTTGGACTCATCTGTGTGCCCATGGCGCTCCATGGCCTCCTCCAGATCATGGACAAAGACATCAAAGGGGACAGATCCTGATCAGACCCCTGGGGTTTTCTCACTAGCCTCCAGGTAGAGCGCAACCTACTGACTGCTACCCTTCTGTGCTTCATCATCCAACTGATTTTTACCTATTTAGTTGCCCACCCATCCAGACCATGACCTCCTCACTTGGATGTAAGAACGTTGTGGGACACAGTATTGAAAGCCTTGCTGAAGCTGGGGTAACTGGTACCCACTGCTCTGCCCTTGCCTACAAATCCAGCCATTTCACTGTGAGAGGCAAGCAGGCTGGTCAGGCATGACTTACCCTTGGTTAATCCAAGCTGACTGCTCCCAGCCACCCGCTTCTAGAAATGTGCTCCAAGAAAGCACACTCCATGGTTTTCCCGACATGAGGGTGACCGTCCCGTTGCTCCTCAGAATGTCCTTTTGGCCCTTGCTGAAGATGGGTGGGACATCTGCCTTTCCCCAGTCACTGAGGACCTCTCCTGATCTCCGTGATCTTGCAAGGATGATGAACAGCAGCTTTGTAAGGATGTCAGCCACTCTAACAGTGGAAGCTCGTCTTCTTGCCCTGGCATCCCTTGCAGGTCCCCGAGCCTCGGCTTCCCCGGCATCGTGCCCTGTGCCCAGCTAAAGCTGCTAACACCTGCGGTGATGGAGGAGCGCTGAGTGTCCCCCACACCGGCTCAATACGAGCAACAATGCCTACGATTTATCCATGTGCCAGGCACCGGGGTTCCTACCTGCGTGCGCGCCCACAGCTGCGCCCCACGTTCCCCTGCCAAAAGGAGAAGCGGCTGGAGGAAGCGCACACATCCACCCTCCGAGGCCGGCCCCGGCCCCCACTGCGGGGGGCACAGCCCCAGGGAGCGGGGTGCTCACAGGGGCACCCTGCCAGCGGGGAGACGCTGAAACGCGGCTGCCGTTTCCACTGCTGGCACAGGCCCGCCGGAGGACAGCACAGGGACATATTTATAGGTCACTGTTGTCCCTCGGGCGTGCGGCTTACGGGCAAAGTAACGGCTGAAACAGGCTGAGGGATTCCCCAGCTGGGGCCTGATTTGGTTTTGGCTATTTTGGTCTGAAATAGGGCCAGAAAGCAGCCGTTTTCTGAGACAGATTGACAGCTGGGTTTCCAGAGCCTTGCCAGTGCTCGGTGCCCGCAGCACCACCAGCTGATCCAGCATGGTTTTTCCAGCCCGGCCCAGCAATCGGCCACGCAAGGCTCACGCATGACCCCCGTCCTCGTCCCCACGCCTGGAGTGACATGGGGCTGGCGGGGTGGGTCAAGCCCCCAGCGCACCCCACTCCACCCCACCAAGATCATCTGAGTCCAGCCCCCGTCACCCCCACACTGGCACTGCCGCTCGCTTCCCCGCACCCTGTGTTCCCGTTAAACTCAGACACGCGTTTCACTGGAGACATCCCGACAGCACCGCAGGAATAACACTGCTCCAGATCTCAGCAGGGCTTCTGAGGTAGCACAAACCACCACCACTTCTCGTTTCCACCCAACAGTCACCCTCTGAGGAACGCAGCCGCGCTTGCCCGGGTAGCGCGCTGCAGTGCAGGAGAGCCGGTACGTGCTGCGATCGGGGCTGGGTGGAGGAACCCCCCACGCTGCCAGAGCCAGCAGCCCACGAGAGCGGGGCTTGCGCAATGAGGAGGAAGGCTTTCTCTTATCTCCTTTGCATCTGTTTAAGCCAGCAGTTGCTGGAGAAAAAGAAAACAACAATGAAATATTATCAGTGGTATAATTTATTCTCCTGTCTTTCAGTCAGTATTTTACATTGTTGCAGCTTGGGCTATTTTTAATTGGCTCATCTAGCTGGGATCACGACTTAACCAAGCAGCGACACCCCAAAATGTGTTTTTCAGCCCTGCTGACCACGCCTGTCTCATCGGCACACGCACACGGGTGCCTGCCCAGGGCTGCCTGCCAGTTTGCCAGCGCGGGAAGCTGTGGCCACAGAGACCCTTCTGAGCAGCACCCATGGGATGCTTGCTCCAGCCTGGGGCACTCTGTGGTGGTTGGTTGCAGACCCGGAAAATGTTTTGCATTGGAGAGTTGGCTATGTGGGTGAATAAATAAAAGGAACTGCCTGAAAGGGAGGAAAAAACAGTGCCAGGGGGCAACTGTCCATGCCCTTTGGCCAAGAGGTGTTTGGTTTCATGTCCGCTCGGCTCTCACCAACATCAGCTGAAGGTTTCTGTTGAAGACGTGTCCCTTGAGGATGGCCAGCGCGGCCCCAGGCTCCACCACCAGCCACAGCCCCATACTCTTCGGGTACCCTTAGGGCATCCAAAGCAGGAACAGCAGCTCTCCCAGCACGCCCTGGTCCTCCACCCATCAAGTCTCCATCTCGCCCACCTCGGAGGGGTTATCACCTGTAATCCTGACAACCCACTCACGTTCACCATTCCCAAGCCCTTCCTCCTCCTTCTCCTCCTCAGCCATCAGTAAGGACTGGACAGCCCGCACCGGCTCTTCACCATTTTCAGCAGCTTTTGCTTGAGTGTGAGGAAGACGACAGCGAAGGCCACCAGGAGCGTGAGGCAGGTGGGCCGAGCCAGCACCAGGTAGATGGGTTTTTTTTTCAGGACAGGCTCCGGCAGCGCCCTGGGGCTCACCGTGCGGGCAGCATAGCTGCAGGTCACCTCCTGCGCATCAGGGACGAGTAGCCCCTCGGCCCGCAGGAGGGCGTCCCACCAGCCCAGCGTGCAGCAGTTGTAGGGGTTTCGGCTGAGGTAGACCTCCCGCAGGGTCTTCCCCAGTGGTGTCTGCGCAACGTCTGGCGGCAGAGCCGGGAGGCAGTTGTCCCGCACGTCCAGGCTGTGCAGTTTCAGGACTCCCAGCGAGGTGGGGAAGGCGGTCAAGGAGTTGCCTGACACATCCAAGCGCACGAGACTGTTGAAGGCAGAGAAGTCCACAGCAGTGGAGGAGAGGCTGGTGTTCCTCAGAGACAACACCTGCAGCGTCAGAGCAAGGTCCTGCAGCCATTCCAGGTCCCCAGACAGCGCCTGATGGTTGTCGGAGAGGTCCAAATGCATCAGTGACGTCCCCTGGAAAGGGTGGCCACCCAGTCCCCGCAGACCACAGCCGGCTAAGGAGAGATGAGTCAAGGTCTCGACACCCCTGATGTCCACGCAGGGGGGACTCTCCGCCTCGCCTGCAACAGCTGGCTGGGGACAGAGGTCGACCCGGTTGTGGCTGAGGTCCACGGTAGCGATCTTCCTGGTGTAGGTGAAAACCCCAGGAGGAAGTGCCCGCAGCCTGTTGGTGCTGAGGTTGAAGAGCTGCAGGTTGGGCAGGATATCCCCGGTGCCCACCTCCGCCCCCAGCTCTGCCAGCCGGTTCTGGCTGAGGTCCAGCTCCGTCAGCATGGCTAAGGGATCCCCCTCCGACAGGTCAAACGTCTCCAGGCAGTTCTGGTTGAGCTTCAGGTGGGTCAGGGAGGGCATCTGGGCCAGGAAGCCCTCTGGCAGGTACCAGACCTGGTTCTGGCTCATGTCCAGGAGGCGCAGGGAGGAGAGGTTGCTGTGGCAGATCTCATCCCAGAGGCTGACCGTTGTGATGTTGGTGGAATTGCCATCAATGAGCAGGAACTGCACCGTGACATCTGCCAGGGATGTGCCGTTGGGGAGGCGCTGGTAGAAGCTCATCTCGTTGTCCTTCAGCAGCAAGGAGTGCAGCTTGCTCTGCCGGGGCAACACGGGGAAGAAGAGGAGGCGGTTATGGGACAGGTCCAGCACCTCCAGCTCAAAGAGGTCATCAGTTTCCAGGGCCAGAAACCACTCGATGATGTTGTTGCTGACATTGAGCACCCTGAGCTGGGTCAGGCCAAATTCCACTACGCACGGGAGGTAGTTGTAAGCTATGTTGAGCCTCTGCAGCCTCTGCAGCCCTTCAAAAGCTTGGTCAATCTCAAAGATGTAGTTCCTCTCCAGGTTCAGCTCCAACAGCTGTGTCAGGTTTGTGAAGACAGACGAGTCCAGCCTCATGATGATGTTCCTGGCCACGGACAAGGACTCCAAGGAAGACAGGTTCCAGACCAAAACTGATACCATGTCCTCAGTGAGGCGGTTTCCAGCTAGATCCAGGGTCCTCAAGGCTGGCAGAGCAGAAAGAGCAGCTGCTGTCAGCGAGTAGTTAGTGCAGAGGACGTTGTCTGCCAAGGAGAGCACATGGAGGCCTTGGCTGCTGAGGAAGGTGCCGGGCTCGATGAGCTCCAGCCGGTTCTTGGTCAAGCTGAGACACCGCAGCTGGTGGTAGGAGAGCAGAGAGGCACTGCCCAGAACCTGGATAGTGTTGCCATCAAGCAAAAGCTCCTCGGTATCACCTCGAAGATTTCCTGGGATGGAGCTCAGCCATCTCCCAGTGCAGTCCGTGGTGCTCTGCACCTAAAGCAAGGACATGTAACGCCGCTCTGAGAGGCGGAAGATGGGGGGAGATGAGGAGGGACAAGTTTGGGGAGCAGAGCGAGGATGGAGGAGGTAGCTTTGTGGTTAGAGCCTCGGCACCCCAGTCCACTCCTTAGCTAAGCCAGTGGCTGGGAGGAGGAAGGTCTGGAGATGCTGAGGCACCTGGACATTGCAGGGCAGGACAAGCAGTCAGCAGGGTGAGGGTTTGCAAAAGAAGACTTACGAGCTCGCAGCCACCGGCAGACGTTGCCCAGGCCGCAAACGCCCCGATTCCCCACCGCACTGCCAGGAGGACCAGAAGCAGGGAGAGACCAGGGAGCGGGGCCTCCATCTCAGCGGTGGCACTCCTGCGGAGATGAAGACAGAGGTGAGAAAGTCAAAACCTGCAGACCACTCATCCCGAAAGGCCTAGGTTTTCCTGGGGAGCCGATCATGGCAGCAGTGATCCTGGTGCACGGCTGGCCTCCTGCCCCATGGAGAAACGACAAAGAGCCCCAGCACCGAGCCCGCCCACCCCAGCCGGAGCCCTCATGGGGTTCTACCAAGCAGAGCCTGGAGGGCAGGAGAAGAGAAGGGACGAGGAGGTGGCAGCCCAGTCCCCGCACAGGGCAGTGCGCATGGGAAAGGCACCATCGTCGCTGCACAGCTGCTCGCAGACGCCACTGAACTGCAGCCCTCGAGCAGAGACTTCCCCCCCACTGCCAGGGCTCGCATCCCCCCTCTCTGGCACCAGATGCTCCCCTGGGGGACACCGACCCAGCCACCACCGAGTCCCCTCCAGCACCCCTCCTTGCCAGAGGTCCTCCCGAGGAATGGGAGGCTCTCCAGCACGAGGAGCCCCGTTACTAACTTGGTGGAACTAGAGCTGACAGCATTTGCATCGGGGGAAAAGCTCAACCTCAGGCAAATGAGCAGTGAGGGCTCGGCGAGGGCTCAGCAAGCAGCGTTCTCATAACTGCCAGCGCTTGAAGAAGAAACAAGGGGTTATTTCTGGCAGCCTGGGTGGCCAGAGCCTTGCAGCACAGAGGGAGCAGGGATGTCCCAGGTTGTCTCCTTCCTTGGGACAGCCAAAAGCGTTAAGCTGCTGCCTTACCAAAGCGGCATTTATTAATCTCATGGGGATGGGGAGGAAGCCCTCCCAAGCCCTCGGTCTCCAGCAGTGCCTTGCACCCAGGCACGGTGGCAGGAGAGGGACCCTGCTGTGTCCTCGCTGCACTCCGGCTCGCCTTCAGCCCCTGAACCCCTCCGCAGAAGCTCACGCTTTCCTTCGCCCAGTTCAGCCTTTCTTTGCCGCCCAACGCTGCCCTTCCCCAACACCAGAAGAGCCTCCATCCTCCCCAGCTCCTCCCTGGGGCCGCGGGGACGGCGCATGCCCAGCCAGGAGAGCGGGCGGCAGCACTGGCAGCAAACCCCTGCCCGCAGCGGAGCACACATGCAAGAGTCTGGGAGCGCCCGGGGTGCTCCCCACGGTGCCCGCCAGCCCACGCAGCCGCAGCTCTTGTGAGCATGGGCATGAACGACGCACGGCCACCACGGATCTTCAAGCTGGCGAAGGGGGCTCCCCAAAACCCCCCCCACCCTGCAGCGGCCGGCCCCTCCGGCTGCGCTCGGGGGGCTCCTGGGGCCAAGGGTAGGTGCGACCCGCTGGGTCTCTCTCCCACCCGCTTTCTCGCTTAGCACTAATATAGCCTTTGCGGAAGGAGCTAACGGAAACTGCAGTCACATGGAGGCAGAGAGCGCGGCCAGGCACTTCGCTTACTGATCTCAGCACTTAGAACCCGGGTCATGCACTCGCAAACAGCTCCCCAGCAAGGAGGAACCGTGGGGGCCAGGCAGGCAAGGAGGGGGACGCAGGGGGAACTGGCCCCTGCCAAGGGTCACGCAGCTTCTGGCTCTCCCACTGCTCCTGGAGACAAGCCAGCTCTGGGGACAACCCTTGCACCGTGACTGCTCTGCGTAGCTCCTGCAGCAAAACCCCTGCAAGGTTTCAGGCAGCAGAGTCAGTGACCCGGGGGGTTTCTTGCCTGCAGAGCAGTGCCGCTGACCCTGATGGGGATGGAGAACAGCCACTGGCACTGCCCTGCATGGCACCCATTCCCATTGCGTCCCTCTAGGCCGCTGCTTGCCTCCAGCACCCAGCACAGGGGCTTCAACAGGAGCCAAGGGATGCACTTCCCGCGGGGGAAGGAGAAGGTGCCGTCATTTCCCGTTGTATCCCAAGCCAAAGTTGCACGGGTCCCCCCATGTTGAGTCACCCCGCTGTGGGACACCAGTGGCCAGCCCCTCGCGTTGTCTTGGTGAGATTCAGGATGCTCAGATCCCACCGCCCACAGAGCTTTGGGTCTCCTGGGGCTGCTCGGGATTCTGCCAAACACAGCACCCAGGGTGCAAGTCAGACCCATCTGGACACAGGGACCTCCCAAGTGGCAATCCCTGTGTGAAAGTCAGCATAAATGGCTTTTCCCACAACTGCCAAGGCAGAGAGAGAGAAAAATCCACATTTACAAGGCAATATAAACAGGGAGGCCCTCTGCCTCCTCACCCCCATCTACCCCTGCTCTCCATCTCCCCACCCCACGTCTCCCCTCTCCCAGGTTCTTCACACACCCCCAGATCAATCCAGCTGCTGAGGGGGAAAACAGTTTGCCTGGATTTACCTAGCTGGGAGAGGGTTCGAAACGACCAGGAAAGGATTCAGCCCTGCAACAGGGGCCTGTGCAGTGGCATCAGCAGGGACCACCCTGCGAGGTCCATGCACCACATCCCAGGCATCGGCGCCAACAGGACCTTCTGCAGCAGTCAAGAGATGAAACGTGTCACTGCAGCACACCAAGCCCCCACCGTGGGACTTCACGGCCTGGGTCACCCTCACCTGCCAGACCAAGCAGCCCCCAAACTCCTGCAGCCAGCACAAATGACTGGGGAGGTGTTTTTTCTGCCTTCACCCTAAATTTCATTTCTTCTCTGGAAGAAGACTCAACTCTCCCATGTCACTCACGAAAAAGCCCTGTGGTTTCATTTCCTCCATTTTCAAGGAAGTCTGAAGCATAAAAATCAAGAAGGAAAAGAGAGAAGCACTCTTCATCCAAGTGAACCAGAGCAGATGGCAGAAGCTCTGCAGTGGGGCAAAATTCTCATGGTGTTGCTCAAGGTCACATGAAGGGCTGAGACTGGTTGACAGTTACAAACCCACTCCTCAGAACCTTGCCATGAGCCCGACCCACCCCAAAACCTCTCATCTGATGCCTGGAGAGGCAGGAGCCGGCAGAGATTCACCCCAGACCTGGCATGTCCTGAAGCCATAAAACTGGAGCATCCTCACCTGTGATGATTCCCAGCTCTTGGGTGATCCGGAAGCTCCTGGGAGACTTCCGATGAGGTTCCTTCATGTGGTGCCACCAAAGAAGGTGATGAGCAACGGGCCAAACCAGCTTCTTCCCTGTAGCCCAGGAGGAACTGGGAGAAAAACCAACGTGCTTCATCCCCATGCTTCATCCCCAGCCCACCACTTCAGCTGACCGAAGCCAAGCCAGCATAACCCCCTTTTCCCAGCAGCGAAGGTGCCTGCTGATGGGGCACCGGGGGATGGGAGAGCACCCACGCTGCCAGGCTGCGTTTCGCCCACCCTGTCGTCCCTGGAAAGCAGCCACAGCCCGGGGCTGCTCCCCGCAGAGTGCCCGCTGGCTCTGCACTGGGGCAGCCGGCCGCAGCCTTGCGTTTCACGCTTTCCCCACATCCTGCAGCCAGATTGTTTTGAAAACATCTCGAAGCTGCTGCTTGCTCTCCTCTTCCTCTCAAGCAGCATCATGCCCACACCCAGCCCTCCCAGTAAGGACTGGATATGTGTTTTGAGGGTGTTTTTTTTAATATCAGCACAGTAAAGGCATAGGGACTGAGCTGCCAGGAGCTGCTGGTCTGAACAGCTCTTCATGAAGCTCCAGTCCAGCTCAATAGCACAGGTGGATTAAACTGAAGGAGATTCAGCCACTTGGAGTGATGTCCACAGATGCAGCTGCAATTCCTGCAGCTGTAGGAGAGGACTGGGAATCCCCACATGGTTTCACACCCAGTAAGCCAGTGAGCTTCCTCCATTCCTCCCACCTCTTCTTCCCTCCAAGCCATCTTTTTTCCATAACAACCCTCAAATTGTCAAGTGCAAAGAGAAAAGTTGCAAAGAGAGGACAACCTCCCGGTCACCCCTGGACTGCTGCACCCAGCACAGGACCCCATGGGAGAGGAGAAACTGCAACAGAAAATGGCAACCCCATCGCTGCGCCTCAGCGTGCCCCTTCTTTTCCTGCAGGAAATGTGATATTTTTCCAGAGTGGAAACACCAAGAAAAAGTTCACTCACGGTTCACACACCAGCAGGACCACAGCCTGGGACGAGTCGGGACAAAGTGAAACAGAAATGCTTCTCCATGGGCTTCCTCTACTCCCACTGCGATGGAGAAGTGGAGACAAGTAAACAAGTCGCTCCACAAGGGATGAAGGTGCAAAGCATTCCCGGAAAGCCTCTGGCTCTGCTTGGTCTCCAGCATTTTGCCTGACAAGGAGAAGATGCAGGAGCACCCCTACAAAGGGAAATAGAGACAGGGAGAAGACCCAGCTGCTCTGGGAAACGAGCCTGGGAAGGCTTCCATAAGTACCTACAGAAACATTATGATCTCCAGGCTCACAGGAAACTGCAAACAGCATTACAGAAAATACTAGGTAGACTCGAGCGACTTATTCTTTCGCAGCAGTTCCTCCCTCGTTGGACCTCACCAGAAAGGGAGGAGCGGCCACCAGTGAAGACCTCCAGCCGCTCATTGCCAGGCACCGTGGTCAGTGAAGACTCTGAAAATTAAAGAAAATGCAAATTTTATCTTTAAAACCCACATCAAATTCGCATTTGCTACTTGGCTCAAGCATGCACAGGAAGCGCAAACATATCAAGCAGACACAAGCGAAGAAGTTATTTAACGTAATCACCTGCTCTGGATAAAACAAGGGAAGTTGAAGCTCTACCATATCTCAGAAGCTGCTGGTAGCAGTAGTTGCCTCTAATTTAAGATAACTATGAACGTAAAAAAAGGAGACAGATCATACATTACCTAGCTAAAATGTCTAGCTGGATGGCTTAACTTTAAACTGCAGCTCTGGAAGTTCACCTGGCTGAATTTCTCGACGGGAACCCACCCGGTTTATCCCCAGGGAATAATGAAGGACGTGCCCCGTCCCAGGGTGGTGCGGATGGATCGATGTACACAAGCACCTCTGCAGCCCCAGAGCTGCAGCCAAACTGGAGATCTGCAAGAAGCACAGCTTCCCTGCAGCGTATTTCTTGCAG